TTTGTAAAAACAGTAATATATTCTGAAATATAGAAACTGTAGGATATCTTTTGCAAATTAACTGTATTCAGAAGTAAACGAGTTTGAAATCAAACTAAACTTGCTGTCTAACCAATTCAAAGAATTTAAATGAACTCATTTTCCGATATTCTATAAGCAAACAGTCTCCCTAGAATGTGCTCAAAAAGAAATTGCCAAATTTTAGCGTTTCAGAATGAATTTCTACGGGGTTTGGGCTATAGTTTGACTTTTTGCCTTACATTTTCTTTCAATCGAAAGGAAGTTATTCATGATCTTTAGGTGCAATTGATAAACGTGTAAGCTGACTGCAGTCTCGTTTCATTAAGATATGACACGTTCATTAATACGCATGTTATTATCGTAACTGAAGAGATTTCAGTATCTTGTATGTGCAGTTTGCCTAACAGTATCTGAAGTTACTCACATCCACTCAAGAAAATAAACGAAACTGTCATGATTATCACTGACATAAAAAAGGCATGTATATAAAATGAATTTTAGCATAGTCTTAATGTTATAAAAGCTATTATTTTAATCTCTAGTCTCTTCTTTACATGTAAAACCTCGTCAGAATTTAATTGAATTACTGGTATTCGATATGAATCGTCTACAACTGCCAACAATTTAACAAAAAACCTTTATAGATTAACAAACGTAATATTTACAAAACTATTTCATGTGCAACCGTTCTTTTCTCACAACAGAAAACGGACTTAACGAATTCCATACATTATTATTTTATACTGTTGAAGTGAACAAAATAATTTGAGCAGAATACTATGAAGCTATATCATTTGAATGCTTATTCCCAACTGTTTACAACCTTATTCAGTTTGATAACAGAGTCTAGTCAATGGTAACAAACACAACATGTGTTGATCAACCAAATAGATTGCAAATAATTAGATGCATTTGGTATTGTTTTTTCAGTTTGTTCTTAAATGTAGATATTACTTTTTTAAAATAAGAATTGGAGCTATAAGTAACTGATGCGAATAATTGAGATCAAACTGATTTATGTAAATCTGATGCGATTGTTTTCTTCGTTGTCGTGTTAAGATTTAGAAAAGAAAGTGAATAATGATAAACTAGCCTAGTAAGTAATTACTATTTAAGTATTACGTCATGATTAGTTTAGTCTCTTGAAGTTAAGCATTAAAAAAACCCAACAAGACTAGATTTTCAGGCTGATAATAAAGTGAGAATATGAATTTATCGTCACCCTACCTAAATATCATATACGGTATTAACGTATCTGATTCCGGATCTCACTACTCTCACTGATGACACTAGTATTAGTCTATCAGCCAGTTTATGAGCCTGATCACTGATATTTCGTATTATTGCGCAAGTCTAATACCTCAGTTTCAATAGTTCTTGTGTTTTGCTTTTTTATAACCGATATTCTTACACGAAGAGATGGGCGGTAGCTAGCAGTGGAATCCAGGACATACTTTTATCCTATTTGGGACTCATCGGATGGATGAGTTTGCATCCTAGAGTTGATTTCCACTCTGGGACTTGAACCCAGTACCGTTTGCTTCAAAAGCCATCACGTTACTAACTCATCTACCGAGTTCGGTTAGCCACTGGTTCGTGCAATGGATTAAAACAACCAATACAAAGTGTTTTTAGAGCCTCACTTCTTCCTTCTTGTTGGCCTCCTTATGGTGTATGCTACTTATGTCTGTCGACAGAAATAAGTAGCATATAACACCAATCTGAAAATGGAGTGCCTGGCAGCAAGCTAGGAAAATCGAATCGAAAGTAATTGCAATAGCAATAAAGGAACAATGAAGTTTGAGACAATTTGTATGGTTGCTCTCGTTTACTACAATTTTATTTACAAAAATCCTGTTTTCGAATGAATTAAGTAGTCACGACATGAAAAACCAACCACTGAACAATAACATTGTTTTATCCGAAATAACTTCGAATATATGCTACAAGCTAAAGACTAAATAAATTCGATGGAGTGAAGCTCAACAAAGCTATTGGTTATTCTTATCATTAGGAGATAACCAACAACAAAACCAGAATCAGACTGTTAAATTACTTTTTTTTAAAAGAACTCAGAACTAAGTGCTTAGAAAGTATATATTTTCAAATCTGATTTTAAATAACGCGAAATAATTTTAATTCACGAGAATTTCTAAACAATCGTTTAAAGTGCCATTTTCATAGGTATTTTTGGATAAGGTTTATAATCAATCAGTTTAAAATCTTCAAACTTGAAATCATCAATATTCTTCACCTCTCGAATGATCTCTAATTTTGGGAATGGCCGCGGTACACGTTTAACCTATTAAAATGTAGTCAAAAGAGTAGGAGGATGTGATTAGGTTTGGTGACTTAACTCTTCTGATTAAGATTCCATGGCAGTTAAATTGAGGTGAAAGTGATGACTAGAGTATGTAAAATCTTTGATGATATATTTGCGATCGTTTTAAAAGGAGGTAAAACGAATGGTTTTCTGTAACTGTTTGAATTCATAGTAAAAACAGTAACAGTAGATGAGCATGAACATAATAATCTAGTCAGGAGTATAATTACAATTTTTTGGATTTATGAATTAGAGAATTTATGTAGACTGCTATAACACCGAAAGAAGGCTTCAATTTGTGGTTGACCAATAAGAATGAAACCTCACAGGATTTGAGCACGTGGCTATTTGGTTATATTGGAGTCACGCAACGGACAATTAGTCGATAAGCTTAAATACTGAGAACAAAACACAACTTTTGGAACTTTACGCATTTGACAAACGAACACAACGTGAATGACGAAGTCGAAAGCAATGTAAATGACACAACCTATCAAATTCGACGAAGCCAATACAGCAAGGACAAATGCATTCACAAATCATATTATCTTGACTATGTTTTGTTCATGTATCGACTCTTCTCACTTATCTATTTCGTGAACTATCCCTTTGTGATTATTAATATGTTATTGTTATATAATCTCCTAAAGTTGTGGAATTATTATCTTTATTTCTATCAACATTATATTATAACAGTGATAGGTCTTCCGAACACTGATGAATCATCATTTATTCTAGTAGCTATGGTTGTCTCAGATAATTTCCATGTATTTATTAGATGACACTTTTCCTATACATCTTACATTTTCAATTTGATAGGCGATCAAGAGACACGAATATTAACGCAAATCACCAGTTCAGACAGTCTAGCAAAACACTTACAACCTGAAGCACTATTTCCGAAATTATCACAACACTAGCAATGGTTCATGCCGGTATCATATACATAATTTGGAAGTTATACTTCCATTAGTAATAAATTAGGCTCTCGATATTCATAGGAAGTTCTCATATCTGCAGCAATCGACATTCCTTATTCTAGAAAGACAACCCCTTCAGCCACTTGTTTATTTAGTCAGTGACCCTTGTTATCATAGTTTACATTCATCATGTTGTAAAGGTTGCATTATTAGTCAATTGATAACGAACACGATCACCTCACTTATATGTTCATATAACTGCGTGATGAATCATTTATTGCTCTTAAACATCGTTCGATAACTGCAATCAATACGCATTTTTCACTGCACTGTAAATCAAAATATAGAGTTTAGAGTTAGTCTCCCAAAAATACATTTGTATTCGTCATATCTAAGTAAGTCCAATTCGTTCTACAACTATGATCGTATGTAATGCTATCGTCATCATGCCTCAGCAGTTGAGCAACAAAACGACGTCGAAGGCATCTTCTTCCAAATTAAAAAGCAACGTCAAGCTTGACGATCAAAAAGGAATGTGACTCCGTGTATCTCGTATCTATGGTCACTTTTCTGTTCCCTTGATCATCCTACCAATACATATTTAATAGTGACCCGATATATCTGGTCACGATACCGACTATAATACGTGCTGACTTCACTTTTTTCTGACTATACCGAATGCAGTATGATAGGGAGTATCATCCACCAATCCAGTTATCGTTCAACAACTTGATTATCTCTATACTGCATACAAAAACTCCCTGCTATCTGAAGTAACTTACCAACGGGCATTCACTCTATTGCAGTTTAACAAAACATGCTCATATAAAATGCACGAGAATGAACTCAAAACAACTGTCAACTAATTTCAAAGTGAGAACCTTCAATACGGACGTCAAGACAGTTCTACTGTACGGAGCTGAAACGTAAAGAACTACTACAACCATCATCAAGAAGACACAAGTATTTATAAATAGTTGTCTACGCAAAACACTCAACATTCACTGGTCGGATACCATCAGCAACAGCCTTCTGTGGGAGATGACAAACCAGCTTCCATCCGAAGAGATCAGGAAAAGATGTTGGAGGTGGATAGGACATACATTTCGGAAATCACCAAACTGCATCACGAGGCAAGCGCTAACTTTGGATCCAGAAAGCAAAAGGACAAGAGGAAAACTAGGAAACACATTACGTTGGAATTGGAAGCGGACATCAAGAGAATAAATAGCAACTGCAAAGGATTGTCGAGGACAGAGTTCGATGGGGGACCCTGGTGGGCAGCCTATGCTCCACGAGGGGTAACGGGCATAAGTATATTACTTCGTTCATAATCACATCGTTATTCTACATCCACGTACATAGTCCATACATTTTTTCCCTAAAGTACTTTATTTCTGTATCATACATTCGCTCATCCCTCATGTATTATTATGCCGTATAGTACATTTTTTATGCTGCCAGTTTTTGAAATACATTCACATATCTTTGGTGTTATTCCACAAAAATAAATATTTCATTTTCAAATTAGCATCCGGGTTTTTATAGGGGAAACTCGTACTAACTCGTATCGTTACACGCCTACAAAATTTATTCTAAAATTAAAACAGACGAATTGTTTTAGTTCTTCCATTTATTCTACCAACCATATATTTGACCATTTCAATTACTTACATTTAACCTCAATCACGTTTTACATGAGCGTACGATTTTATGTATGTGTTCCTCCACTTCCTATATTCTCCATGGCTTAAAAAAACTGAGTCTTTTTATCATTCTTTAAGTCGGTGCGTTACCGAATCTTGTTTGCATGTCATTCAACATTACCATGACTGAAGTATACGTATTCTAGGTAGAATCCATATTCAACATTTTGCATACCATTATTCCACACACTATAGCTTAACAGAATATACATGACAAAGTAGGATATATACATATCCTTTGATCGACAAGCGTTGATCGGTACTGAAGTATAAGGTATGAGGAGCATTCACAACCGATAAGCAAATCCTCTATATAATCTAGTTTATTACAAAATAAATCCCAAACCAAGTTGTCAAGTATTAAGACATCATATACACAAAGCTCAATAACTCCTTACTCAATTTTAGAAAACAGGCAACTGTTTCAACAACCACGATCGACAAAACTGTTCAACTGCAAGGACATTACGAATATAAGCAAAGTAAAAAGTAAAGTATCAGAATATCTGAGAGAAAAATAAGTAACTAAAGGAAAAACGTCGTCAAAAGAAAACAGGGATTTGTGTTAATTTGGTTGTAACCAACAAATTTTATCTATCAAAGATCTTAACAAGTACATATAGTGATGTTCGAACTTACTTGCTCAAGTAACGCCTCACGATGGTTTGAATAAATATGCGCATCGCCAATTGTGTGGACGAACTCACCAGGTTTTAAACCAGTAACATGAGCAATCATACATGTTAGTAAAGCATAACTTGCAATATTGAACGGTACACCAAGACCCTATGCATAACAAAAAGGAAGTATCAAATTTAACCAAATATTGAAAAACAGTGCACACAAGAAAGTAATAACTAATGAAACACATAAAATATAGCTTTTATATATCTCCTGAGAAACAACTTTCAAAAATGTACAAATTTAAATCTTAATAAAAGAATTACTTGATATCACTAATTGTAGATTCAGTAGCAAAATCAATTTTTCGCTGAAGCAAACCAATAAAACCTAAAAACACTGAGGCCAGCATATGATAGTGTTGAATCCTCTTAAGAAGCTAATACCTATCAATGCTAGTAAACTATTTGCCTCAGTTAGATACGCTTAACGTGTCCATGAAGTTAAAGTTGATAGTGTCAACAAACTTGGTAATCACAAGGTTAATAATCAATTATCAAACCCTAAAGAATATGAAAACAATTATCATCTTCAGTCCTAAATTGCAAAATGTCTCGTTCTTGAGTTTGTTAACTACTTTTCCAGCTAACACAGGTTTTAAAGAATAAAAAAACAGCTACCACATGAAACACCAAAAATACCTACCATATCACCTGAACGTTGATATAATTGACAACTTAACTCATCATTTGCAACATAAAACTGAACAAGACAATGACAGGGAGGAAGAGCCATCTTACGTAGATCTAAATAAGCAAATCATATCAAACATTTATCAAAAAATACGTTGACCACAAAATTATAATCAAACCTGTGAATGACGGCCTTGCTGATGAATAAACTGTTACAAACAATAAATTAAATGGTTTAATAATGCTACCAATAATGATAACGAAATACCAATGGCACTTTTGGATGAAGTTTGACTCTTTACTAATCCCTTCAAAAAACTTATTCAAAATCACCGTTATAATGATGAAACATCGTGAAATCTTTTTTACAATTAGCTGATGAACAATCATTGCAACATTTTTATCGCTTACATAAACGTTTTTAGTTGAAAAAAACCAAGTGATGTCATTCAATAACAATTATACAATAATACAGTTAAGATATGGCGTCAGAAGAAACAATGCAGGCTTAAAAATGCTTGATACTATAACGACATGTAGTGAACAATACGACAGTAGTTTGAGGATTTCAATAATATTTAGGTTTGTTTCTTTTATTTGAATAATATTGATCCCAGAATTGATGGTTTAAGCAAAGAAAAGTTGATAGAAATTTTAAATCATAGAAGTTAAACTGTTACAAGAAGTTTACGCGTATAAGTGATTGAATCGCTACGCTTGAACTAAGAAATTATGGCTCTCTAGAATAAGTGAGAAGGAAATGTTAGACCAATTCAAAATAAGTTTTTTTGATTGCTAACAATCTTCAGTTTATTCTTCATTCTCGTTTTTTGTGTATCTTTGATAACTGTCACTTAAGTAATGATCTAAAACATAGGAGACTAGAAGTTCTCCAACTCCAACTGAATCAATAACGTAGAAAACAATGTTATGTAATACCTGTGGTTTATCTTATTGGTACGAGACTTAGAAACTAAGGTATTCTAGCGATTTATTTATAGGTTGTAATTCCAAAGAAAAAGAAACATTAATATCTCACCGGATAATAATGAATGAATCCACGAATTGATTCATCTCAAAAATATACTTCAAATTCGTTGGTTAGCTATATGGTCAATCAGTCACAACGTAGAACCTGGTACGTATGTACAAGTTGTTCAAGTTGTCATACCCCATTAGTACAGAGGGATGAAATTGTAGGGCCGAATCCCAGAATAGTAGAGGCAGCAACAGTATCAGTGGTAATGGGAAAGATTAGGCATAGAAAATAAGATTCCAGGAAATATAAATTAGTGAAACAAGAACAAAACGTTATGAAGAATTTAAGATCTCAGATTTTGGGGAAAGACAAAGAATGGATGTACCTGTGCCACTCCAAACGATTTTGAACGATGTCATTCAGAGTCTCTAACCATTGGTTGCGATGATCATGCAGACCTCAACCAGGTAATGTGCACACATTAACATGGCTCAATTCAATTATCAATATCTTCATTAAAGACACCTATGGTCGCATACCAGTAACCTATGAATATCCTCTATTCTTAATGGTCAAGTTCCCCACTCAAAATGTAGGACGGGGCAAAATCATGCGCAATAAACTCATCCTTTGGTTGGAAGACGAATATCTATCTCGCCTACGTTGCAAGTGACGCAAGTTAGCAAAAGCCAACCGAGCCTTCTGAATCTGTACCGAGATTTCGTCAGACACCAGACCATCAGTACTGATGAGACTCCCAAGATAAGATGGTCAGAAGGCTCTGCATTTTGTCAACATTTCACCAAACAGAACTATATTGATGGCGTATTGTAAGTCAACAAATGATTCTCCTGATAGATCAACCCTTGAAAAGTCAGACAATGAGACTGTTATCTCTAAAAGCATGTCCATGACGAGGTTAAATAAAAATGGGGAGAGCGGACAACCGTGATGAACACCTTGAAGTAACCAATCCCGACGACAGTTTACTATAAGCTGACTTGATCAGTAGTGTTCGAGTAGGGAGCCCGTACAAGGTTGACATCCTTCATTGGTACACAGAACATCACGACCGACAGAATCGAACGCCCCCTTAAGGTCAAGGGATACAGCTATCGTCGGATGTCAAAAAGTATGTCTATGCTCTAGAACATACCGAAAAGTGAATATTTGGTCTAAACATTCACCTCCAAGTCTGAAACCAGCCTAGCTTTCCCTTCATGAGCTCTAGTTAGACTTCAAAATATTATTGAAACCAACATTTTAGACACCATACTAGTTAAACTAATTGCTCTGTAATTGTCACAAGATGATTTTTTTCCTTTTTATAAACTGGGACGATCAGCAATCGAGACCAGTCAGATAGGATCAAGTCGTTACCAGATTTTGGTTAAGATCTCAGTTAATTTAAGTGCTTAAAATTCTCAGAGGTTAGTCCATCAGACCCAGTCGCTCTCCGTCACTTTAGACTGCTTACAGCTTTTTCAACCTAAATAAGTTAGAGGACTTACGTCAGTTTGTCATTCAGGTTGCTCAAAAATAGTGGGTAAATGAAATGTGACTGAATCCCAATTTTCTTGATTGAAAGTGAATAACAGTTACGTCTTCTTTAGGAATATTTTCACTGACAGTCGTATTTTTAACATCCGTTTCTTTGATAAGTTTGAACAGTTGTCTACTGTTACCTTTTGCTACGGCCTTTTCTATCTCTTCTGCTTTTAGTACTCATCATTGCTCACGACCACTACGTAGGCTCCTCATCGTGTTCGGAACCAGGCGAGATGTCAGTTCTATAGATGCCATCGAAATTCACCACTGTTTACTAACCTTTTCGTTTAAGTTACTGGTAGATATTACTGATGTTTTGACAGGACTTTGAACATCACATCAAGCTGCATTGGGGTGGACATCATTCTCACGGTTGACTAACTCCTGCTCAAGCTGTTCTTGAAATACGTTTTTGGCTTTTTCGTCATTAAGTTGAACTTTAAGGGGTTTTCTTTCTGTGGCTTTTCTACATCCAGTAAGATTATTATTATTATAAGCTTTATTTAGTGTTATATTTTAGGTACAATACAGAATTCTCGGCGCAATGTACTTCAACAAGTTTCCGTTTCTTACTTCTTGATCGATCATGACGACAAATATTGAGTGATCGCCAGTTAGAAGTAGGCGGTTCAGTCAATCGACATCTAAACAATGTACATTCTTTTCGCTGCATACTGCTAACAACCACGATATCTCTGATTGGGCTTTTGTAGCCGACGTCTTCGGTCCCCGAAATATCTCTCAATGTTCTCGATGTATGCAAACTTTGTTTTGATAGACCGCAGTTATAAGTTAGCGTAATAGACCTCAAGAATAACTAGTGATAACAAGATAATATAGAAAATCGTGCCAATATACTTATTATAAAATTGGGTGTTACAATCTGGTAACTTTTGTTCTCCCCTTTTACATAATCGGTTTAAACAGTTATATCAGTGAAAAGAATCATTATTATCCAACGTGGTTTTCATATTGAGTACTTGATTGTTGTGTTTTTCGCTTCTCAATTTGTCTAGTTCACCTCTTATTCTCCATACATGTCTTAACAAGTATGTGTGACTATTTTGTTCTAAAAGTATCATGAAAATATATCACATAGTTCTGATAACGATCTGATCATTGCATTATTCAAACTTTCAAATTATCATTGATATTTATCTTGTTATTTCTATCTCGTCATCCTAACATGACATGATACATTGACCCAGTGCACATTTATGTTTAAGCAAACTTGATACCTTATATCTCACCACAATAATTTTAGCTCCATGTGAAATGGTACATTAGAATATTGAGACGGAGATAGCAGACAACATAGAAACCCAATGATATTCTAATAAACAAAATATAGTGATCAGGTTGTTGTTCCGCATTTCCTTTAGCAATTTTAAGAAATGAATACCCTAAAATATTTCAGAAAACGTTTGATCTGTTTAAAAATAGATTTCCTCACCTTTAACATTCCAAGCCACAATCAAAATCCTCCTATCCCAAGGGCGTTCACGAATAAGTTTTATTACATCAGCAAGTTGATCAACACCTTGACCAGTGTAGTCGGTTTGACAGTCTACATATTCTGCTCCGCTGTGACGCCATTGGAAACCATAAACTGGACCAAGATCACCTTCAATATTTTGAGTAAAAATATGAAGATACGAGTAGCAAAGACAACGTAACTAAACCAGTAAAAATTACTTGAGATCATCCTGCAACGCTTCAAATTTTAACGCTAATGATACAATTCATTGTATGAAAAGCGAATTCTGAGGAATAAAATTCAACCAATAAAAACGGTTACAGAAAATTAGACTATCTATGCACCAGAATACTTTACTATGAAAAGCTAAAGATTTGACGAGAGGACTATTTAACAAGTAGCAACTTTGACTAAAAATAAAGAGGACTTACTACATACTCTAGTTGGCTACAAAGAATATAGGCCCAGTGTGATTAATCCTACACAGACTGTACTATTTCCCAATGACTGGATATGAAACCGAAAGGATCAAAAATATGCTTCGAACAAAACTTTATCACGTTCCTCACGATGAACTCTTTACTACTAGTAAGCAATAATATTTTAACAGACACCAACTTGCATTAGAAACTAGAAACTATTCCATGCCACTAGTGGTAATTTGATATATTTCCATAACCTACATTAAGAAAATAATTTCGCCCTATAAATTAGATTAACCTTCTTTCCTGGCTTTTAATTATGTATAACTTCAACTTTAACTGACTTATGCAGCACTAATTCCCTCACATGGCCACGCGAATATATAGCCTCTGACAGGGAAGTCCTACTCACTGCCTTCTCGTGGCGGGGGTGTTGTTTTTTCGAAAGTGAAAGGACGAAAAAAGAGTGTCTGGCGCTTTAACCGGATTGGTGGACACGGAAAGTCCACCTAGGTGAGTTGGAAAACCCTGATTCCAAACCAATGGTGCACATGGGCTCCAGTATCCTGATGGAACGAATGGCGTATGAACCAATCGTTGGTAACCGGCTACCATGAGACTGTATCTCCTTACGATGCTCTACTGCCTTGTGGACTAGACATTCAGGTCAAAGGCTCGGGGTGTGGCCCCCTAAGAAAACCGCCTGCTTCGGTTTGGGCAACTGGGCAGTATCACAGCCCTCACACAAATCAAATGAGATTTGTGCGGCGCATATGTATCTGGTGCTTCCTTGTACCAATATTTATGTGTTTAAATAATAAATAATAATAATAATTCCCTACTTATAGTAAATTCATCGATAACCAGAAGTGTTTGGTGAACAGAAATAAGTGAATAAAATTTATTGAAGACAGTAGTCATGTGTTAGAATTATCCTCATGACTGAAGTCATTTGTCTTAGAGTGCATAAAACGTCAAATAACAGCGAATATCACTCATTTCAAGAAAACAAACTGACCCATAAATTATTACAAAATATCGTAATGATCTCACCTTCTTCACGCTCAGTAAATCCCAGTCCATCTAAAAATTCACGAGATCCATTTGCATCCCAGAAATGTACATTTTTTTCCGCCAGTTCACGAGAATTTGTAGATCCACGAATAAACCATAATAGCTCTTCTACGATTCCGCGAAAAAACACCTACGAAATCATATTTTAGAAGCTTAAACTATTGGTAAAGTAACCTAGCTTAGGTGCATATTATATCATATATATACCGATGGTTATCAAGCAGTACGCCTAACAGTTAGATCTAAATTCACGGATAAGTAAGCTATGAAATTTGTATCCTCCAGTTAGCCTATAAAATGAAATTGTCTATTTCTGTATTTGATATTTAGCATACAGGCGAATTACTTTACTAAAAAGTATATCCACCCCTGGTTATTTGCCTGGTCTTTTGGTATCAATTCATTTGGAAGCTACACGCCTATAAATCGGTCTTGTGAACAGTTATCACTCAGCCACAATGGATTATCACACATAATCAGACCACCATTCAACCCAATACTCAATAAAAATAAACTGACACGAACGTGGTTGTACATTTCAGCATTCCATTAATTTGAAAACTGATTTTAGAATGAAATGCACTCACACTAAACTTAAACCACCAACCAAATCCTACCACAATGCCTATTAACAAAACTGGAGAGATCATAATCTTATAGTTGTTTACATAAATGTGATGAGTGGTACTTTAGGGGTCAAGGTACTTTACTTTGTCACTAGATTCCAGGTTCGAACCCCAATCCACCTGCTTCAGTCCGGATAACTGGATAGTATCATTAACCCTTACAACTAGTGTGGCTCGAAGCCAAGTACACCATTTTGTACCTGGTAATACTAGTTAACTGTTTATTACCAAGAATTTCAATCTGACTAACCGACAGCATATTCATAGAGAATATTTTGTTCCATGAGGTCATTTGGAAAGTGATTAGGGGTCATAATCTTTAACACTACACATTTTCAGGTTTAGACAGCTGTTTAGCATTTCTATTCTTCATACAAGCCTAGCTTAAAGTCTGTGTTTTGAACTCAAGCTGCATTTTAAAAAATGATAAAGAATACTTGGATAGACGAGTTTATGATATACAAGATTAAGAAAACTTTCCTTTCTGACCATTTAAAAAACGAAGAAAAACGGAAAAATCGGTTTGATGCCGTAGTCACCGAGAAACATTTTCGTGGTCTAAACAAAATGACAATCAACAGTAAAAATACCGAGTATCAAAATTAATTGTAAAGAAATAAAAGGAAGGCTGGAATAGTATATATCTATCCACTGGAAGTTAACAGCAACAGCATAACTGTTAAAGATATGATGACGACCAAGTCTAAAAAGCATCTTTGGACAGTAAACAGATAAAAGAAAAGCGAATATAAACCAAGCAAGGACAGCTTAATGAGACAACTTCCGAATCTAAAGATGGAAATACACAAAAATATTAAGCGAATTGATCCAAAAATATAAATGTTACATTCGTTTTGCTTATGAGATCTTTTACTTGTCAGAGTATATATTTTAGACTTCTATGGAACTTCTAGAAAAAAATAATGTGTACCGTAAGGGCTTTAACAACAATTAATTTAAAGAAACTGATGAGTACTTTGGATTGCATATCTTGAGATATATTTTCTAAACTACAGTGCCTCAGCTCCCATTTAAACCAAACATAAACAAAAAGATGAATTATTCGTTTCGCGAACTACTATGCAGAAAAACCATTCGATATGAAAGATAAGAACGAATAAAATTCAAAAAGTGAAAAAAGTATTCACAGACATACTGTTTTTGTAGTCAGTAGAGGATATTCATGATTCCTAAGAGAAAAGCGAAGCTGTGGACCGAAAACTCCAAACGTCCCTGTGTCGGTACGATCTCTCCGTTCAACGCCATTTGCAAGTATATATCGTAACAAATTTAAGTAGCCATTTTCACCGAATATATGCTCAGGAAAAAACGAAAATCCTGTTGGTGGATTTTCAACCTCTAAACCCCTGAAAAAATAAACAAAGTTTGAGGGTGGCAAGATTAATAATGGACGCTTAAAAGCTAATACGTAAAGCCGCTGTAGGCTAATGGTAGACTGAAATTCATTGTTATGAAGCACTCAGGAAAAGCTACTAATGTCACACTAAAAATATTGTTATAGCATCTCATTGGCGCTAACATCGGTCTTTCAGCCACTGATTTATCGAAATCAACAAAGAATTTTAAGGTTGATAAGAAAAAATGCTTATTATTTACATCATAATTGGATACCAAAAAGACGTTTGGTATAACATGAAATCAAGAAATTCACCATTATATCACGTAGAAATATCTAATTATAGTGCACACAAGAATAAGAACAAGCAATGAAAATACGATCTAAATAAGGATCAAATTAACGTAGGTGCTTTATCAGTAACGAGAAACTGCACCAAGACTACCTATACTTCCTACTTTAAGTTATTTTATGACTCTACCCCAAAAGCGATGAACCAATGTAAGTTTACCCAATATATCCTTTGTTCCTACGGGCTTTCATCGAATATAGATCAATTCCGTTTAACATACCAACAGTACTTGGATAAGTACTTATATACTCTCCTCTTGACTTATTTCAGAACATCACAGAGTAATTGCAGGTATATGCCCCTGCCGATTTGTAGTACTTTACATTTTAGTAACACATATACTTACGAAAGCTGACTGACAGCTCAGTAACCTGTATATAAATAAACAGTTAAGCGATATTAGTCATTTAATTAATATCAAGTGGTTTTTCGAGAGTCAGATTAACTGGTCTGCCGCCCCAGAGACATCGATCAAACTGTCCTGCGCTCCATGGCCGGTGACAACTGATCCACCTAACAAGACGGAAGTCCGCAAGGAACTCCAACTCCTGAAGCGTCACAAGTCACCATGTTTAGATGACTTACCTACGACCCTTTTTAAAAATGCTGGCGAGCTTCTGGTTAAGGAACTGAGTTGTTTGCAAAGGTCTGGTAATTGGAGAATATTCTAACATCGTGGAATGAGTCGATAGTTACCCCTATCTTTTAAAAAGGTTCACGTCACCTATGCAACAAATATCGGGGGATAAGTCTACTTCCGACCGTATCCAAAGTATTGGCTTCCGTCATACTCCATTGTCCAAACCCGAGGAAGATTAACTAGTGAGAAGTAGGCTGGTTTTTGTTCTGGTTGAGGATGTATGGATCATGTATTCACCCTCCGCCAGATGTTAGAACACCGTCATACTAATAACAGGCCAAATACTGTTGTTTCTTGACATCAGGGCTGCCTTCGATTGGTTGGACAGGACTGTTCTCTGGGATTGCCTGTGAAGTTTATTAACATCTTGAAAGCCACACATACTAACAATTCGAAGAGAGTGAGAGCATACAACTACCTCTCTCCATTGTTTCATCCAAACAGTGGGGTTAGGCAGGGTTGCCCAATCTCTCCACTCCTTTTCAACTTTGTCACTGATGACATTCTGGAAACAGCTTTGATGGATGTATGTAATGGTGGTGCGGATCTGTTGCCAGGACAAAGACTTTTCAACCTTGAGCATGCGAATGATATTGCCTTACTGTGTGGCGACACCCAAATCATGGAAAATGCACTTAATCAGTTGGAAATCAGTGTTCATAGGTATGGCATGTGCTTTTCACCTTCTAAGTGCAGAGTACTTTTACAAAACTTGCAGGAACCTGAACCTCCACTCACTCTTGGTAGTGAGCAAATAGAAGTAGTTGAGAAGTTCGGTTGTCTGGTTAGTTGTGTAAGAGCTGGTGGTGGTGTGAGTGATGAGATCAATTCACGTATAGTGAAAGCCAAAGAGGATTATGCCAAACTGGGTCATCTTTTGCGCCTTCGTGATCTTAGTCTGGCTGTAAAAGGTTGGATCTACAACGCGTCAGTGATAGCAGTCTTTATCAATGCTTGTGAAACCTGGCCTCTCTGAGTGGAGGATGCTAAACTACTCTCTGTGTTTGATCACAGTTGTCTCCGAAGGATTGATGATATCCAGTGGCAACACCATGTTATTAATACATATGTTCGGCAACGTGTACAACCACAATACTTCAATTGGTGTCACCATTTCGAAACATCGACTTCGTTGGCTTGGACATGCAATACGAAAGTCGCCCCGGCGAATTCCACATCGTGCATTATTTGCCGACGCCGGGACTGGTTAGGAATAGCGAGTGGTTAGTGTATGATGTTTTATCGTGGTATGAATGAAAACTGTACGGGACTGACTTCTATTAGCGCCTCACGACTTTGTGACTGGGGTCCCAGAGATGGTGCAACATATTGGCTTGAGACGTCATCAGACATGGCTCAGAATAGAAGCCAGTGGTGATCCTGTTGTAACTTTCTTTTACTCCCTTCATAAAAGTGAACGTAACTTCGTTAACTGAGGGAATTCTTTATGGTTGTATTTTTTTAACTGAACTGCTTCTCCCATTATTACCACTATTATTTGACTCTTATAAACTAATTTCTGTTCATTATTGCTTTTGTTTTATTATACTTACTCTCCATTCGGTCTCTTCAGAACCTCATTGTCATTGTGTGGCGCTCAAACTCAGACCTCTAGCTTCTTCTTGAAGACGGAAATAAAGTCTAGACTAGGAAGCTAACGAGACTGAAATTGTTTTATTGTTTGAAAGTAGAGCGATTGTTTTATCCCTTTTCGAACAAGGGGATAATTATTTTTTATAGTTAAGATCATGAGTCAATTGAGGCTAGACCACCATCGAAAACCTGGAAGCACTGGACGGCCGTTTCGTCCTATTATGGGACTCCTCAGCAGTGCGCATCCACGAACCCGCTCTCGCGAGATTCGAACCCAGGACCTACCAGTCTCGAGCCGGAGCCCTTAACCGATAGACCACTGAGCTGGCATCCAACGGTGTTAATGTCTAACCTCAACCAATCCACGAAATTGCGCAACCAACTTCCAATGTACTGAGGTAGATACCTGTCTCTACCTGACATGGATTAGCTCCACTGGCCACGACTTCTCACTATAACTCCAGGAATTACCTCAAGGAGCCAGTCCCTAGTGAGCATATGATCATTATCACAAGGGGGGACTGGCTCCTTGAGGTAATTCCTGGAGTTCTAGTGAGAAGTCGTGGCCAGTGGAGCTAATCCATGTCAGGTAGAGACAGGTATCTACCTCAGTACATTGGAAGTTGATTGCGCAATTTCGTGGATTGGTTGAGGTTAGACATTAACACCGTTGGATGCCAGCTCAGTGGTCTATCGGTTAAGGGCTCCGGCTCGAGACTGGTAGGTCCTGGGTTCGAATCTCGCGAGAGCGGGTTCGTGGATGCGCACTGCTGAGGAGTCCCATAATAGGACGAAACGGCCGTCCAGTGCTTCCAGGTTTTCGATGGTGGTCTAGCCTCAATTGACTCATGATCTTAACTATAAAAAAATAATTATCCCCTTGTTCGAAAAGGGATAAAACAATCGCTCTACTTTCAAACAATAAAACAATTTCAGTCTCGTTAGCTTCCTAGTCTAGACTTTATTTCCGTCTTCAAGAAGAAGCTAGAGGTCTGAGTTTGAGCTGTTTCTAAATAGGCCACTTTATAAGTAATGATATTTCATGGAATGCTTTTTTTTATTTTTAGGATGTACGTCGTCCGCTTAATTCATGGAAATACAGTAGCCAACTGGAAAAACCTATTTCTATTAAATAAAAGTTATTTTCTACTGAATGTAACTACCTGAAAAAAATATGTTCTGTCGTTCATGGGAAAAAGTCAAAAGGCCATAATTTTGAGGATTATTTGTTTTTACGTAGTTCCTGAGGTCTGAAGGTATGATTAAATAATTACAAGTACATATTTGGCCCCAGTCAATAGCAAAGTAACAATATCGCAGCCGTATAATTTTTGGAGATTACTCAGAACTGAATAAATATCTAGTACTCGATAAACAATTATTGACCAATGATAAAATCACAACAATTCTCAAAATGTAATGCACCTTAGATTATCAAGCATACATACGTGACTATCAACTGAAATAAAACATGTAACAAATACATCTGAATAACGAAGAACAGTACTGACGCTAAATAGTTTCCCGAAGACAGCCATTTCACCAAATGCTTTTGAAATAGGTGACTCAGCTGTATTGCCTTAGGTTAGTCTACATTGCATTTTGAAAATAAAAGTTAGTTTTACATACCACACCCTATAAACAAGTTTAACTACATAATAATAACAGCACAAGAGTTCCTCTAATTAAATATCTTATTAAATGTGGCCGGAAACTAACAAACGCACTTTCGAGAGGCCTTTTCTTTTTCACAAGTTTCCATAACCAGTTCTATCAGATAATCCCAAGTAAAATTAATTAGGATTTTTGCAGGAAATTCCGAATATCCAAGTATCGAAAAAATATAGAACCGTTGAGATTCACCTGAAAAAAAACAGGAATATTACGTGAAAAAGGTGAGCCAAAGAAAGTAATCATATGTTACAAACAGCACAGATATAGTCAACAGCCTAAACAAAAAAATATCACCAAAAACAACGATAACATGAACTAGCAAAAAAATAAGTATATATATATATATATATATATATATATATATATATATATATATATATATATATACGTCAGTCAGTCACAACGTAGAACTTCGTACGTACGTACATCAGTTCGAGTTGCTATACCACATTAGCACAGAGATGAAATTGTCGATTCAAATCCCATATTGGTAAAAGTAGTAAGAGTATAAGCATTATGCAAAAGATTAGGGTTTCAAGGTGTTATTGAAGGAGTATAATCCAATGAAATAAATTTGGAAAGAGAAAAAAGATAGGAACATGAAGAATTCAGAAGATTAGAATTACGAAGAACACAAAGAGTGGATGCACCTTTGCCATGGCAAACGATTTTGATCTATGTCATTCAAGGTCTCAACCATCTCAACTGATGAAGTTTCACTACTTCATCAATTGATTTGCCATCCTTACCTAGTACCCGTTTCCTAACAATTGCATTACCCGGTGGTCCCAGGATATACGAGCAATGCTTCGAAGATACCTATGATCGAATACTAGTAGCCTACGAATATCTTGTACTCTTATCGGCCATGTTTCACTGTCATAAAGTAGGACGGAACGAACTGCTGCACAGTAAACCCGTCCTTTGGTTGCTAGACGGATATCTCGCCTACGCCATAAATGACGCAAGTTGGTGAAAGTTAGACGAGCCTTCTAATCAGTGCTGAGATTTCGTCACACACCAGACCAAAAGGGCTGATGAGACTCCCAAGATAAGTGAAGCGATCAACACGCTCAACTACTTCACTCCCTATCATTAGTTCAGGTGCCGATGCAACCCAATCCTGAAGTAACATTTTGAACTTCGAGGGGGAGAATCGCATCCCGAACATGCCTGCATTGTTGCTTATAGTGGTCAGAAGACTCAACATTTTGTCAGCGCCTTTGCCAAATAAAACTATGTCGTTGGCATATTCTAAGTCAACAAGTGAATCTCCCGGTAAAAGTTGCGCCAAAGAGGATCTGTTATCCATGATATACAGGTTTCATCGGTTACCGATTTGACAAACCTGGTGAATCTCAAGATCGGAGAACTTAAAAAGATCAACAAATCAACAATCGGGGTAATTCGGGTGGAGAACGTTTATTCCCAATTTCGTAGTTTTAATAAACAATACAAAAGAAAACGCTATATTATTACTTAAGAAAAGTAGGGTACATAAAATACCCACCACATAAATGAAGCAACAATCTGTGGCGAAATAAAAGTGTGGTTTAAAGACAAGATAATAACTAAGAGGAAGAGAATAGCATATAATACGAGAATGTTGTTAAAAAAAATAACACCGAAACAAGACTTCTTTCAGTCAACTATTCCTCTCAGGTTTATGAAATGCAGATAAAAAATCACTTCACAAATAGGCAGCATTAATCGTGACATTGTGGATGGTGAAAAAAATGCAAGCGACGTTCAATTATGGCAGAAGACATCTGAGATACATATCTTGCATAATGAAGCCTCAACTTGCAATGAGGATTACACGTAGTGCAGCAATTCAGTCAGTCATCCATAAAGTAGAACCAGGCACATATGCATCGGTCCAAGCTGCCATAACTAATTAGTACAAGATGAACACCAAATTCATAGACGCAGTTACTTTGATAGTAGTAATATATAAGATTGAATATAAAAATATGATAAAGAGAGAAAGAATTAGTACGCAGAAAGAAAAGCACGAAGTAATTCTGATCCCACGGTTTAAGGGAAGACAGAGAGTATACACCTACGTCATTGTGATCAACTCTGACCCAAATCACCCAGAGTATCCAATCACTGGTTACGATAGTCACGTGGACCCCAACCAAGTAGTCTGCATCTATCAACATGGCTCAAACTAAAAGTTAGTGACTTCAAGGACTGATACCACGTTTTGGTTTGGTCGCCCCTAACTCTCTTCCAACCATCCGCAACACTAGTCAGCATTGCGCGCTGTGCAGCAATTACCTAGTTAGATATAAGAAATTGTAGATTTTATTCAGTGATTCAAGGTATGTTATATTTATTGTAACTACTAGTCAATGTAATAGCAGTAGACCTAAGGAATATTTTAGACTCTGAGACAAGCTTTTGTTTCATAGCTACAGGACAGACTATATGAAGGGAATAAAACGAGTATGAAAGTTTAAACTTTGTTGTTTATGTTTTGATTATTGTGCATATTTTTATTTCAACGCTCAGGTTTTTTTGTAATATCTTCTTAACAGTCTAGTGATGTTGCTAGTTTGCCAGCACATTACAGTATGTACTATTATTCATATACATAACATTCAAACCATTATCATTACCTACTGAACCATACTTATATACTGGTATACTTTGCTGCAGAATTCTGCAGAAAGTGTAATTTAAGAAGTCACTTTATTTATTTATTCGAACACAAACACTGGTACTAGGGGGTATCAAATAGGTATGCACTACACAATAACAGTGAGGCCAGTGGCAGTTATCATTGATTTGTGTGAGAGGTAGGATACCGCCCATGTGCCCAAACAGAAGCATGTGGTTTTCTTAGGGGACCACGCCTGAAGCTTTCGACCTGAAGGTGTAATCGACAGGGCAGTGGAGCATCATAAAGATATGCAGTCCCATGGTAGCCAGTGACCAACATATGGATCATACGCCACTCGTTCCCTTACGATACTAGAGCCCATGTGCACCATTGGTTTGGAATCAGGGTTTTCCAACTCCCCTAGGTAGATCCTCCGTATCCATCAACCCGCTTAAGGCGCCTAACATTCGTTTTTCGTCCTCACAATTTCGTAAACAACACCACCGTCGCGAGAAGGCAGTGAGTAGGACTTTCCTGGGAGTGGTTGTTTTCACATGGCCATGTAGAGGCATTTTTAGGGAGAGAGCTGACTTTCCCCACTCTCGATCGTACCAAAGCGTTTGGGGTCATGTAGATCTCTAACGTTCTGGTAAAATATAATCAAATAAACATCGTACGAGTGCCTCGGTATGCTTGAGTATTCTTCCCAAAACGGAAGATAATTTAGTCCGAATGACTTCATAATATTGTGATCATTTAGATTTTGTACCCAATCTCCCTATTGTGGGGGGAATTCAGGGAGGCCATTATAGAAAATTTTGGGGAAATGGAACGAAAATCCCAAAATTGGGAGATTGAGTAGGGAGGAATTTAATTGAATATTTCTTAGATGAGGTTCCGGGTAAAAATACGCTTTGAAGGAGGGATGATGAATACTAACATGGAGAGGTTTTGGTAAAAATTAGATCCCGTAGGTTTTGCAGTTGAAATTAGGGCGAGACTATAATTTATGGACGAGTCAAAGGCGTTTGAGAGACTTCAGTCACGGCATCAATTTCAGTTTTATTTTATTTAAACACATAAATATTGGTACAAAAAAGCACCAGATAAATATGCGCCTCACAAATCTCATTCGATTTCAGTACCTGATGCCCCCAAATGCCCTGGTACGGCTGAGAATGGGGAGAGTCACCTCTCCCTCTCGAAATACTCTCATATGGCCAGCGAATATATAGCCTCTGACAGGGAAGTCCTACTCACTGCCTTCTCGTGGCAGGGGTGTTGTGTACGAGAGTGAGAGGACGAAAAGCGAATGTCCGGCGCTTTAACCGGGTTGGTGGACACGGAGGGTCCACCTAGGGGAGTTGGAAAACCCTGATTCCAAACCAGTGGTGCACATGGGCTCCAGTATCCTGATGGAACAAATGGCGGACGAACCTGTCATTGGTCAACGGCTACCATGGGACTGCATCTCCTCACGATGCTCCACTGCCTTGTGGATCAAACATTCAGGTCAAAGGCTCGGGGTGTGGCCCCCTAAGAAAACCGCCTGCTTCAGTCTGGGCACTTGGGCAGTATCACAGCCCTCACACAAATCGAATGAGATTTGTGAGGCGCATATTTATCTGGTGCTTGCTTGTACCAATATTTATGTGTTCAAATAAATAATAAATAATAAAATAATAAAACCTGATGCTCAGGTACGATAAGTTCATAGATTATTTTAAAGAAGAAGTGATAAGTGAACGGATACAACAAATGGGATTACCAATAAGTTCTTTCATCTGTAATTGTGGTAATCAAGTTACTTGTGGACCTTATGCAGACTACGGTGATGACGTCTTTCGATGTGATGTATGTTGGAAGAAGTCCCCTAGAATGGGAACTTTTTTGCTCGATCCAGATTGAGGCTAAGGCAAATTATGATACTTTTTGCGAACTGTATGATAAAAACACTAGTAACATTGGCTGCAATATTCGTAGAAGTTACCGAAGCTTCGACCGTTCAGTGGTATGAGTATTGTAAGAATATATGCGTAATATGATAAGCTTACACAACCGGAGTACACACAAACAATATTGAAGCTATATAGTCGAGGCTGAGTAATCTTTTGCGACTTTGTCATGGCTCCAGAGGACGATTATTATGGAGTCATATGGATGAGTTCCTCTACCGTATGCATTGCGATTTTAGAGCGTCTGAACCTCTTTCTAACCATGACAAGTTTTCAAACCATGTAAAAGAAGTGTGTCCACCTTAATTCTTTGGTTTTGTATGATATATTTTTACTCTATACTGTTTCCTGATTGTCTAATATTCCTTAAGGTTATTTAAGATTCGTCCAAAGGTCGTCTATAAATTATAGTCTCACTGAAATTAGACGTATTAGATCTAGAAGAAAATACTGAAGTTTTGATGGGTAAGACCTAGGCTTAAAACATCTGTGACGCTAAACGGTTCCCACATCTCTGTTATAACAGAGTCTTATAAGTCGGTAGCCATCACATATATCGTCATTTATACATAGTACACAAATTTTAAGAAAAATCCCGTGAATATTGGTCAAATGCAAAGGATAAAGTTAAACTAATGTGCTTACGTGAAACTTCTATTGAGGCTAAAATGAAGTTAAGTAAACACAGTATAGAACAACTCTAAAATATCGCCGGTTTGACGAACTTAAATGGGGCGCTTCATCTGGACAGAGCCGATTACCGTGAGAGATATTATATACGAGGTCATAAAGCTGATGTTTAATGATAGCTAATGTAGCGACTGGCGTCTATCTGATGGGGAATTGTGTACTAGGAAAGCATTCAGAGTAGTGTGTGCGAAGATAACTAGAGAATAACGAAAGAGATCAGTTGATGACCAATGCACTTACTCTTATTTGGAAGAGTAATATACAACAGTCAGCAGTGACAATGGCCTCAGACTAAGACAAGCTTGAAGTTAAAATTAGAAGCAGACAGTTTAACCCTCTAAAGCTCAGGGTGCTTAAACATAACCGTTATTTCTGTTAGGAGAAAAGTGCCAGTTTACGAAACTTTACTGAAAATTCATTGCCTTCATTTTTAAATAGTTAAATGTGCTTATGGACAAAATAAAAGTTCACTGCTAACTATGTTCTGTTCCTGGAAATGACTAGTCACTCATGCCTTTCGGCGAAAACTAACCCTACTTCACTAAAACCATATGAAAATGATCAAGACAATTTCCCGCTTTAATGTTAACAATAACTTTATAACCATCCGATAAGGATACATACCCGGTCACAATACTAGCTCGAGGCTCCAAACCAAATATTTTGACAGTGTCTCTGGAGACGAACTCCGCCCGTAGCTCTTCTAGAGTTACTGACGGTCTCGAGCCCGGGTAAAAGAGTAGGGTTGGGCATGGGGTTAGCGACCCCAACCCGTAGAAAAACTAACTCGCTAAAAAACATTAACCGGGAAAAATAATTCAAACCATTTAAAGTCTGCCCTCCGAGTTGAAGGAAGAATTATGACGCCTCATGATGAAAGCCGAGATTCTTCGGAAGTCTGTGATGTTTAAATAAATCAATGACTTCTTCGTATTGATGACTGTTGTAATTTTGAATTCAAAAATACAATACATTCGTTCGGGCTCATCTAATACTTCTTGACTACATTGCGTTATTCCAGGGATTACTAGTTCATACTACAATTCAAATACTTCTAATTATCATATTGGCGTCGCGATGGAGCCTGCGATACAACAGTTGGACATTCATTCAACTTCTGAAGCTTGTGAGGATTACCTTGAAAGGTTTGAGATATGGAGCATGACCAAGAAAGATATGAAGGGTGACAAAATTGTGGCACATTTTCTTACATTCATCGGTCAAGAAGCCTACAGTTTATTAAAAACCTTGGCATATCCAGATAAGCCGATTTCACTCCCATATACAACTCTCAAGGAATTACTATTAAACCATGTGAAGTGCACCAGTTTTGAGTGTCGTGAGAGAGCAAAATTTCATAAGATGATTCGTCAGGATAACCAGAAGGTTAAAGACTTCATCCTTGAATTGCAAAGACAAGCTGCCAAATGCAATTTTGGTGATCAGCTTCATGTACAGTTGAGAGATCGGTTAATTGCTGGAATTAACATACCAGGTCTGGAAAAGGAGCTGTTAAGAATGCCGAACTGTTCTTTTCAAGATGCTAGAACTGCATGTATTAACTACGAAGCAGTGAATGAACTTGATATTCAATCGATGAAAATTTCTAATACTTTGCTTAGTCGTCATGATGAATTACAATCTCAGGGTCGATCAAATTTGCGTTCGTTTAATCGTGATTGCTATTCCCGTGGAAATATGAAAGGTGGTTTAACAAGGAACTGCAAAGCAAACAACAAAGGTGAGAATAAGTTTGGTAAATGCTTATCTTGTGGCAAATTTCATTTTCGTAATTCATGTGCATTTCGTAATGCTAAATGTTTTAAATGTGGCAAGATAGGACACATTCAGTCAGTGTGCAAAACTACTGTTCACTTTGCTTCAAGTATTACTAAGTCTGGTAACTTAGATCCCAATAATTCGGCTGTTCTTGATGATCATTTATCTTTATCCACTACTTCAAAAGGGAATGTTCATATTCAAAAGCGATTATATACATCCCTTGGTTCATTTCATGACTTCATTGTGGACACAGGTAGTATAGAGTCCATTATTTCATTCAAGAACTTGAAATCTTTAGATCCTAATGTTGTGGTAAAACCCACTGAGGTCTCAATACTGGGGATTACTGGACACAGACTACCTATACGAGGATGTTGTAAATTGCTAATAAGAGATGATAATTCTTCATACGTACCTTGTGAATTTTTAGTTAGTGAAACAGGACTGTCCATACTGGGTTTAAAAAATCTGAAAAGGCTTAAAGTGGAATTGTCTCTACTAGTTTCTACAGAGAATTCTGATGCTTTACTCAAGGATTTGATAGCTGTGTGTGCTAAGTGTAGTGGAGGTATGAAAATTCAGCCCATTAAACTTCAAGTACAGGGTGATCCGGTCTTTCTTAAAAGACGAATAATTCCTTATGGTCTTCGAGAAGCAGTACATAAGTCACTGAATGATTTGTGTGCGAAAGGTATAATTGAACCAGTTCAGTCCTCAGCATGGGGTACTCCTATTGTTACGCCATTGAAATCGGATGGCAAGACCCCTAGAATATGCGGTGATTACAGATTGACACTGAACTCCCGTTTGTTGAAGCAAACATGCACGACGATGGAGGCTGAAGATATTCTAAATCGGCTTCATGGTTCTAAAGTGTTCTCGAAAGTTGACTTGAAAGATGCTTATCTTCAAATCCCTTTAGATCAATCTTCATCTATCTTGACAACAATTAACACTCCTTTTGGTCTGTTCAAATACAACTTCCTTCCATTTGGTCTTAGTTGTTCTCCAGCCATATTTCAAGAGGTCATGAATAAGATAGTCAGCGATATTGAAGGTGTTGAAGTTTATCAAGATGATCTCATTGTTCATAGTGCTGATAAAGTAGTCCATGACCAGAGACTTATTGCTTTATTGCGTCGTTTAATTGAGAAGAATATTACAGTGAATCCAAATAAGTGTTCATTTAGTGTATCTAGTTTTGAATGCCTTGGATACCTAGTTGATGGTAATGGTTTTAGACCAGATATGAAACGACTAGCTCCACTGACAAATGCACCGTCTCCAAAAAACATCACAGAATTACGTTCACTAGTGGGTGCTCTTCAGTACTATTCTCGTTTTATTCCTAATTTTTCTTGTCGTGCCAATTGTTTATTTAATATTTTGACATCCAATTCATTCAAATGGGGTGAAGAACAAGAGTCATGCCTACGAAGTCTGCTAAAGTTTCTTCAAAGTGATGCTGTCCTTCGAACTTACTCACCCAGTGTACATTCTGTTCTTATTACTGATGCGTCACCTGTAGGTATTGGTGCAGTTTTGGAACAGGAAGGTAGGCCAGTTATATGTGTTTCACGCAAACTTTCTGTTGCTGAACAAGGTTATTCACAAACGCAGCGAGAAGCGTTAGCTGTGTTTTGGGCTGTTAAAAGACTTCATAAATATTTATTTGGAAAGAAGTTTACCATTGTTACTGATCATGAAGCCTTAAAGTTCATTTATCATCCTGACAAATCCTTAGCACGTTCCTCAGCTGCTATGGTTCAACGATGGAGTATTGCTTTGAGTGCTTATGACTATACGATTCAGCACAGGAGTGCGAAACAAATTCAACACGTTGACTACATTTCTCGACAACCATTACAAGATAGACCTGTTAATACTTCAGACTGCTTGTTAGTGCAACCTTTACCGGTGAGACGTCCAGATCTCATTAGAGAAACTCGTAGATACTTTGGATGTATACTCAGTGCTATACGGAAGGGTTGGAATGCTAATCTGAAACGTAGATTTCCTGTCTATTATTCAAAGCGGGACGAGTTATCTACTACTCCTGACGGTATTTTGTGTTTAAATGATCGTGTTGTTATTCCTCCTTCATTACGCAAACCTGTCCTTGATGATCTTCATAGTGGACATCTTGGTGTTGAGAAAATGAAATCCTTAGCAAGACTCACATGTTGGTGGCCAGAGATAAATGCAGATATATGTCGTACAGCAAACAATTGTGAGAAATGTCATAAGCTAAAAAGTCTGCCTTCGAAGTGGACTCCATGGCCAGTATCGTCTGAGGCCTGGCAGAGAATTCATGCAGACTACTGTGGTCCATTTCTTGGCAAATACTATGCACTTGTAATTATTGATTCTTTTTCTAAGTGGCCTGAAGTTTTTTTCACAACTTCACCGAATTCTGACTTCACAATTCAAGCATTAAGGAAGGTGTTTAGTCGAGAAGGAGTTCCCATGGTGTTGGTGACTGATAATGGCTCTCATTTTGCTGCAGATGCAGTCACTAATTGGTTAAATAGTATAGGGTGCAGACATCTGTTTACGGCTCCCAGGCACCCTTGTTCCAATGGTCAGGCAGAAAATTTCGTAAGAACATTGAAAATTGCTATTGATTCTATTGCTGCTTCGACATTCAATGAACTGGAGAGGGGAGTAGATACATTTCTACTTCAATATAGAAATGCTAAGCATTCTGTGACGAAAGAGACTCCATCAAAGCTATTAAAAGGAAGAATTCTCCGTTCGAATATGAGGTGTTTGGAGTCTGCAGAAGTTACGTATTATCGTGGTAATGATCTTCGACCAGCCACGGGGATCGTGGTGAAGAATGTTGGAAAATCTATGGTGCGAATTCTGGATATCAATGACTTGACCATACATAACCGACACGTTGATCAAATATAATACCAGAATCCAGATAATACAGAGTCTACATCCAATACACCGTCGGACAGATGTAAGATGAACTTAAGAAGAGGACGAACAATCGATTACAGACACTTACACTCCAATTCGAGCTGTGGCGGATGTGATGTTTAAATAAATCAATGACTTCTTCGTATTGATGACTGTTGTAATTTTGAATTCAAAAATACAATACATTCGTTCGGGTTCATCTAATACTTCTTGACTACATTGCGTTATTCCGGGGATTACTAGTTCATACTACAATTCAAATACTTCTAATTATCATAAAGTCACGAGGCTGATGCACCTTCTACCAACCAGAACAACAATTTTTATAGTACATGGAATGCCCAGAAAATGTAGTAGATAGGGAAGACCAGTCAAATAGCAATGAAAATGAGGAGATACAACTTGTCAGTACTCGGAATCAGGAAACCCATTGGACACAAGCTGGACAACAAAGACTAGTTACGGGAGTTATGCTGCTGTACTCCGGTCACGAGGATGAAAATGCTCCACACCCTCAGGGAGTTGCTCTAATGCTATCCAG